CAACCATGCAAAAAAGCAAACACACTGGACCTTTTGCTCACAAACTATGAGTCTATAACTGTGGAACCTAATGGTAGGTGGCGAGATAGGTCTGTAGCTGATCATTTCAATCACTTTAAGATCAACTTAAGGTAAATAGGAAGAAGCCGGTTTGCAGTATGTGCTAAACTATAAAAACAGTGAACTGGGAGAGGCCTAAAACCATGAACTAGGCACACAGACTGGAATGCATTGCGTATTGGCACAGAACCTGGAAAATTGGGTGGAAAAATTTTAAGGAAAAACCTTTTCAATATCACTGACAATTCATCAAGAAATGCTCAGTTAAGACGATGGACAAGATCCATTGTTTGGACTCAGAGGGCTATGTGCAGGCGCAAGTAAATAAGACTGATTAAAAGATAGACATAAAAGCGATAGAAGCCCAATAGCGTTCTCCTCGCCAGGAAAAACTTTAAAAAATGGTGGATGCTCAAAATGCGAAGGAAACATTAATGAAATCAAGATGATTAGCGCTCTTGTAAACCCCCAAAAAATTCTGGTCATATGTAAAAATAAAAATGCTAGTCAAAGTAGAATCCCTGAGTTTGTAAGCTACAAAGGCATGTCCGCAACTGCCCGAGGACCAGGCCTTCTGAGTCAATAGCTTTTTCTTCGAGCAGTTCTCTGAAGCATCATTATTCGACATAGATATTGATTATTCAAACGATTGGGCGCTTTGATATTGCATTGACCACCAAAGGGTCCGTAAAAAATCCTTTCAACATTTAACTCTAACAAGCTTATGGGCCTGTGGTCTTCATGGGAAACTTTTGAAAATACAGTGTGCTGTCGGGCTTGCATACCCATTTTCACTATAATTTCATTCATTTTTTGGGTTACAACATTGGGCCATTGACCTAGGGAGTGGAAATCTGGGAAACGTTGTACCCATATATAAAAAGGTGATAAACATGAAGGTTTCAATTTTTAGGCGCACAATATTCCGCTACATGCTTAATCACCAAAGTTTCTTGACCGCAATAATTAAAAAGATGAGTTACTTGCCACTTACTTACTGCCATGATCAACGAATAAACAACACGGTTTTCGAGTCTGAAGGATCATGTGCAACTAATCTTGTAGGTCTAGGTGGACAGCCAAGCTTTTTCACTGAATGAATATCTTTGAACAGATGTAGTCTACTTTGATTTTGCCAATGCTTTTGACTCGGTTAACCATGATACTTATATTATTTAAGCTAAAGTGCAAATTTGGTATTGATGGGAGGCTACTGAAATTATATGATTATCTCCGAGACAGGCAACAACAGGTCTTGATAAGTGGCAAGTTTTCTTTTCTAGGAGAAATACGCCCAGGTCTGGTTGTACCACAAGGCGTCATTTTTGGGACCGTGTTGTTCACTATGTCATTGATGATCTATCAGTGCGTGGGATTTCACCATGCACACAACTGTCACAGTATGGCCGTGATACTAAAATTTGGCCGGAAGATTGTTTCGGAGTCTGATATCCTGAGGACGCAGATGGACATTGATTAATCTCCATGACTGGTCACTTTCTAATAAAATGAGATTTCATCCGTCATTATGGTAGGTCCGCTCCGTCGCAGGAAGGGATATCCGAAACAGTTTCCCTCATTGTGTCCTACCCTCTTTTAAACTTCTAGTCACTGCTACTCTATGGGATGAATCGCACTTTGACTATGTTGATCAGGAAAAGGATCTGGGGTGTTTTTGTGACAAGAATCTCGACTGGCAAGACAGTTGCTCTAAAGTTCCTTTCAAAGGCCAACCAAAAGGTTAGGCATGGCATGGAGAAATTGCTATTTTGTTCAGATGAAAATAGTCGTAGAGTAATGTATCTCACTTTATGAGAAGTCATATACTGTCACTTTACTCATATTTGCATAATTTCAAGGCACTTCGAGGGTAAGAAATAGCTACATAGCCCCTTATGTTTTGTAAGCTCAATCTTACCACGAGCAAGCTCTACGCCTTTTGACTAAGAATTTTATCTTTAGGACCCATTCCAAATGGAAATATATTCCTTCTAGCTATACGTGAGATAGAGACTATTTCTGAGTTCAAAAGCAAATTGACCTCCTCCTACATGTGGATAAAATTCTTGCGGAGGACCTTTGATTATGTGATTCGTTGATTCCCTCGAGATCAGAGACAGAGATGTGAGGCAGTCTACATAAAGCTAACAATATGTTCCATAGAGCTTAAAATTCTGTGGTCTGTATTTCTCATGCCTCATTTAGTGCATATCTTCACTTCATGGATTTCACTTTATTGTATGATTTGATTGCTTTTGATTATTTTTGATGTGATTCTATTTGAAATTCTATTTAGAATTCAAGATTTTCGTGGGCCATACTTGTGCAGGAGGTGCATTGTGCTCTCAACCTCTGTGTTTTGGTGACCATCAGGTACTTTGATTACTACATTTTGTCCTAAAAAAATCGTATTTTATCGGAGTCTTAATACTTATGAAAGATTTAATTATGTTCTTTGTGTAAATATTGTATGTAATGATATGATTTGAAATGATTTCAATAAAAAAAATTCAGGGATGTTAGATTAGTGATGTATTATTTATTATCTCGCAACATTATGTTGTGTATGACAGCTGATCAACTCTCCACTTATCAATCAATGACTTTGTATATTATTCGTCACTGATTGGGTGACGTGATCTGCAGATCACCGTGAGACCCCGGAGTTCTCATGAGGGACTAGTAGTTAGTGTTAAGCACAGTTGTAAGCATTTTAGAAGCTTAATTGGAATTGTAAAAAATTATATTCTTATAAACTCCTACGGGATAGAATAAGATTCTGATAATCCGGCTCCCGCTAAATAGATTCTGTAATACCGGATCCGCTGTAAGTTTTTTCCCGCTGAATAAATAACCCCGGCACAGCTTTATAATCCCGCCCCGCTTAATTTGGCTCACTAAGATTTGTTTTGTTTTGACATTCCATGAGAATTTCAAAACCGCGTATGTCACGTGTTTTGATGACGTGTATCACGTGACTTAACTACTACGACGCGCATTGGTAAAAAAATGTCACGTGACCTATGGCTTAACGTAAGAGAAGAACTATAATCACTCGATCTATGTCTCGTCTAATTGCAGGCGCATGGCAAAAAACCAGCACACTGCTGACATTACTTAAAACTCTTACATTAATGGACAGTTCCAAAACTTTGTCTCGACGGATACATTTGATTTTGTCCGGTTCGGTTATTTTGTCGTGTTTGATATAAGCCATGTATTATAGTCGTTATTGATAAACTTTCATGGACACGATATCCAGTTTTAGCTGTTATCGCTTGCCAGGCTTAATCGACGCCCCTTATCGATATTCATATTCATTTCAACGTTCTGATGGAGAATTTTGTTTAGATATAACGCCAACTTTTCAAAAGTCATAGTACCTTTGTTGTATATTATTTGGTTTAGTCCCCAATTCATTTCATAGTTTTCCATAATGATCTCATATAGCTATATTTGAGGAGTAAATGTCAAATTTGTGGTCCTAGCACTAACCCGGAGGGGTTTTATAACACTAACACCGGCACGCTTAAGTTTTATTTAAAATAACCTCGTGCTAAAAGCACGTCGGGGTAATTTTCATAATAATCCCTCGTGCTTCGCCTCGAAATTATTATAAATTTTCCCGCGCGTCGCGGGAAATTTGAAATATAATCCTGCGATGCCGGGGTTATGTGTGTTATAGCTGCCAGATCAAAGTTTTTTGTTTTGTTTGGTTTTGGGTGGTTTTTTGGGGGGCGTGCGAATAGAATTTTTATTGATAACAGTAAATTATTTGCAAATAAACTCAGCTGACCCAGAGGCCAGAATTCTCGCGCAACAAATTAGATTTATCAGAAGCATGAAGTCTTTGGTAAAATTTGTTGCGTTTGTGTTAGGATTTTGGATTTGATTAATATGAATAAGTTCTTTACGATTATCTATAATGTAATTTGATAACCGGTATTGTAAACCAGTATTTTAATGTAAAACTGCAATTTTTTATTTGCAATGATGCTAGTGCGAAGAACACTGCCATCTCCACGGAACTACCGCTGTAAAGACTCACTACAAAAGGCGAGGGCACCATCTACTCGGGGCCTTTTTCCAGTCATCGGCCCGGGGTTGTGCTCTGCGTCAGGGAAGATCGGATTGATTTGATGCTTGACATCAAATTGTTCTCTGAATTCTGGCATAGTTTTTGATGCCCTAAAAATGTAAAAATGACCCTGACCCTGACCCTGACCCTGACCCTGACCCTGACCCTGACCCTGACCCTGACCCTGACCCTGACCCTGACCCTGACCCTGACCCTGACCCTGACCCTGACCCTGACCCTGACCCTGACCCTGACCCTGACCCTGACCCTGACCCTGACCCTGACCCTGACCCTGACCCTGACCCTGACCCTGACCCTGACCCTGACCCTGACCCTGACCCTGACCCTGACCCTGACCCTGACCCTGACCCTGACCCTGACCCTGACCCTGACCCTGACCCTGACCCTGACCCTGACCCTGACCCTGACCCTGACCCTGACCCTGACCCTGACCCTGACCCTGACCCTGACCCGATCAACTGACCCCAGCGTAATTAAATGGGAGTCAATTTTCGGGAATCAATTGTCGAGAGTCAATTGTCGGGGGTCAATTGTCGGGGGTCAATTGTCGGGAGGTCAATTGTCGCGGTACCAATATTAACTTTATGCTAGGTAAAAGGTAAGGTTAACTCTAATTGTAAGATACAAGGTAATATTAACTAAATATGCTTGGTAAAAGGTAAGGTTTACTCTAATTGTAAGATACAAGGTAAAATTAACTACATATGCTAGGTAAAAGGTAAGGTTAACTTTAAATTTAAGGCAGAAGGTGCTGAGTAGTGTAAAACGGAAGGGGACTGTAATGTATTATTGATTATAATATGACGATGTATATTTCTTATTACTAATCAATCTATTTCAGCCTCTATTTAGAGGTCTAGCAAGACAGTCTATTTCATTGGTCCATAACACTGGCGACGAGTATGACAAAATCCTACCCCTATCCTCTGACCGCTACAGTCAGCGCGCCGGAAGACTGGTTCGAGCAGTACACATGGTTTCTCAAGTCCCAAAAATCCTATCCGGTTGAACCGGAACCGTTAGTAGAGAATCCGAATGAAGCGCAACGAACCGCGCATGCACAACTGTTAGCGGAATATAATCAGCTATGTCAAACGATCAAACCTCACTTCTTAACGAGCATTGATCCAGAAATCTTTTCCCTACTTACGTCTTTAGCATCTCCAAATGACGTCAACGAACTTACATATTTCGAGATGAAGACAATTCTCATAAATCACATGGTCCCGAAACCGACTGTTTTGGCAGAGCGATTCAGATTCTACAAATGCCACCAAAAGCAGTCGGAGAAAACAGCAGACTTTGTTGCGAGGTTAAAAAAACTGGCAGTCAAATGCAAGTTTACAGACTTCGGCAGTTCAATGTTAGATCAATTTATAATGGGAATTGTTAACTCAGAAGCACAGGAGTTGCTATTGGAGGAGGATTTCGAACAACTGACACTAGAGAGAGCGTATAGAAAAGTGGTGGCAATGGACAGATCTAAATCAGAGGCTGCAATGATTAAAAACTCCCAGCAAACTGTACATAAGGTACAGATCAGCAAGAAGTCTCAAGGGAAATCTTCACAGGGAAGTTCCAATCAGGAGACAAGATGCAATAAATGCAAACTCAAATCGCATGCAACCAAGGACTGCTATACTAAATGTTTCAACTGTGGTGAATTGTATCATACTGCTCAGGGACGTAGCCAGGATTTTTCTTTGAGGGGGGCTGTCGGCGAGCGAAGCGAGCCGACGCGTCCAATCAAGCTGCGCAGCGAGCGAAGCGAGCAAGCTGTGGCAGGGGTCTGGGGGCGCAGCCCCCAGCGGGGTCCAGGGGCGGAGCTCCTTGGCGGGGGCTAGGGGGGCGCAGCCCCCCGGAAATTTTTTGCGAAACAGGGTGTTTTAGACGACATTTGGCATTAAAGAAATTTGTAGGACAGCAATAAACTGGGATTGAAAAGAATCAAGTACTCACGTAAATTTGGTAACTTCACAACAGCAATCTGCATTCTCCAATCAGAATTTACGACTTACTCAGGCCTCATCGTCTTAAGATTTTTACATTTCCTACGGTCTAGGGGACACTATTGACTATAATTATAGAAGTCTTCTAGAATGTTTGCTTGGATTTAATGACATATATTTACTAATCCACAGTTCAAATCTTTGACTGACTGCAGTCATAAACAAAGCCCAGTTACCAGGCGACCATGGGGACTAGGGGGCTTATCTTTTTTCTGGGGTTCGATTTTTTCCGGGGGGGCTGCCGCCCCCCTAGCCCCCCCCCTGGCTACGTGCCTGATACTGCTAAGGACTGCCGTAAGAAGACGAAACGCAAGTCCTGGAAACAGAGTGGTAAATCTACACATCATGTATCAACAGACTGCAACAACAGCGATTCAAGCAGCGATTCAAACCAGGACACAGAACAGTTTGTGAGTCGAAATATTTACTATTGTGAATTGTCGGAGAAATCCGTAAGTTTAGATGACCAGTTAAATGTTTTGTTTCAAAAATCTTCAAATTTGGGCAACAACCTGACAAGTATTGATGATTCTAAAATTCAGGATGATGATAATAGTGTTCTGTATGGTAGTAATTTGCATGATGATTCGCATGTTGATTTGCATGACAATAACATTATTTTGCATGATAACAGGTTTTTGCATGATAACACTGTTTACTTCGATAACGTGAACTTTTTGCGTGATTCTAGACCCCTGATCAAGGTTTGGATCAATCGCCGAGAGTGTCTGATGGAGTTTGACAGTGGATCAAGTGTATCTGTGTGCAGTAGAGAGATGCTGAAGAAAGCTGGTGTGGAGTTTAAGTTGAGAAGTAGTGATAGGCAACTGCGTGTGGCGAATGGTCAATACCAGCAGGTATGCGGTAAAGCAGTTGTGGAAGTGGCGATAAACAACCAGATTGTGAAAGGGTTGGAACTGTATGTGGTGGATAATCACTTTCCAGCACTGTTTGGACGCTCTTGGATTACAGAGTTTTGTGGTGAAAACTGGTTAGAAAAGTTAGTAACGAGAACACAGGGCCAAACAGCAGAAGTTGGACAGAGACCAACAAAAGAGGTTGAACTGGAGAGAACTGATGGAAACTGTAGCGCACACGAAGGAGAATTTCCTGGGACTCAAGAAGGAGTACGAACAGTGAACGTGTTGGGAGTTATGGAATCAGAACCAGTGACAGATACCGCCAAGAGAAAGTTTAAAACTGGACAACGATGTGAGGACGAAGAGACTGCTCCTAGAACACATCAGTTGAGAAATTTTGTTAGTGTGGACGATGAAACAGATCCTGGAACACCAACAAAGATACGGACAGTACAAGAGATAATGTCTAGTGACATCTTCAAAGATGAGTTAGGTCTGGTAAAGAACTATAAAGTGCAACTCCAATTGAAGGAGGGAAGCAGACCTGTCACGCAGAAATCAAGAGCAGTACCTTTTGCTATTAAAGACTTACTGGAAAAGGAGTTAGACAACATGGTGAAACAAGGAATTTTGAAGAAAGTCAAAGAGAGCCCATGGGGAACTCCAGTTATGCCAGTGAAAAAAGGAGACGGTGTGAGAATATATGGAGACTTTAAAGCAGTCAACAAACTATTGGAAATGAAACATCACCCGTTACCAACTACAGAAGAATGTTTTGCAAGCGTTTCGGGAGGAGAAAAGTTCTCAGTCATAGACATAAAACAAGCGTACAATAACGTGGAGCTATCAACAGAAGATCAACTCATCACGACAATGAATACGCATATGGGACAGTATGTGTGGACGCGCTTACCGTATGGAATAAATAGCAGCGCAGCAATCTTTCAGAATCTGATGGACAATGTACTACGGGGTATACCTATGGTTTGCTGTAGGATAGACGACATTTTAATAGCAGGAAAGAACGATAAAGAGCACTTAGATAATCTGAATAAAGTTGTGAGAAGACTGGAAGCAAACGGTTTCAGATGCAGACTGAATAAATCTAAGCTGATGCATGAAGAAGTGATTTATCTAGGACACAAGGTGAACAAGCATGGTATGTCACCAGTCAACAGCAAGATAGACGATCTGTTAAAAGTACAGGCACCGGAAAATGTGAAAAATTTAGTAGCATTTCTGGGAGCAGTTGGGTATTATCGCAAGTATCTACCAGATTTGTCGACAATAATCGCTCCATTGGACGAGTTGAGAAAGACTGAAGTTGAATGGCGATGGACAAAGACTGAACAGAAAGCCTTCGAAGAATTAAAGAAATTACTTTGTTCTGACAGAGTATTGACGTTCTACAACCCGCTGAAACGTTTGAAGCTGGATACAGACGCAAGCAGCGTGGGTTTGGGAGCTGTATTGTCACACATAGATGATGATGGAACAAATGAACGTCCGGTTGAATTTATTTCAAGGACATTATCGAATGCTGAGAAAAAATATAGCCAGATTGACAAAGAAGCTTTAGGGATAGTCTGGGCTATAAAAAGGTTTCATATGTATCTGTATGGAAGACACTTTGAACTAGTGACGGATCACCAACCGTTAGTACATATATTTGGACCTAAGAGAGGCATTCCAGAGATGACGGCGAACAGATTATCCAGATATGCACTGCTGTTACAAAATTACGATTATAACATAGTATACAGAAATACAAAAGAGCATGCTAATGCTGATGTAATGTCCAGATTCCCGAAAAAAGTCATTCATGTGGACGAGCCAAACGAATGTGAAGAGGCATTTTCTTTGACCGTGGAGGACGCACTGATAGATGCAAAAGAAGTTGCCCGGGAGACATCCAAAGACATTATTCTGAGCAAGATAGCGATGTACATTGTAGATGGCTGGCCGGAAAAGATAGACAAAGATCACAAGGAGATGAAAGCCATGTACGACAGAAAGAACCAACTCACGACTGAAAAAAGATGTATCACATGGGGAAATCGTGTAATCATTCCACATAAACTAAGAGCAGAGGTTCTTAAGATGCTACACCTTACACATGTAGGGATGACTGGAATGAAAAGCCTGGCTAGAAGCTATGTGTGGTGGCCAGGAATAGACCAAGATATAGAGATTTTAGTTAAAGCATGTGCATCCTGCCAAAAACACGGGAAAAAGTTACCAAAAGTCATCGACCATCCCTGGGTTAAATCAACAAGACCCTGGCAACGAGTACATGTGGACTTCGCTGGAGAATTCCAAAATAACTATTGGTTACTGATGTACGATACTTACTCAAAATGGCCGGAAGTTATCAAGATGTCTCATAACACTACTGCGCCAGCTACGATAAAAGCAATGAGAAGAGTATTTTCAAGAACAGGGGTACCTTGGGTTCTAGTCAGCGATAACGGACCGCAATTTATCAGTGAAGAATTCAAGAACTTCCTAAAGAAGAATCAGATAAGACATGTTTTGTGCCCATCATACTCCCCGAGGAGTAACGGAAGCTGCGAACGGTTTGTCCAGAGTTTTAAGTCAGCGATGAAAAAGATGTACGAAAAGTCTAAGGATTTAGATTTAAATCTCGCTAACTTCCTAATGGCATATAGGAATACTCCACACTCTGTAACTAAGCAACCACCAGCAGTAATGATGTACGGACGAACTTTACGATCTAAGTTACATCACCTCAGACCCAGTGATCAGATGGAAGCGGAACGACTGGATGTTGATAATGAACAAAAAGTTGTTGACAGTAAAAGAAACGAACGTGTATTTGAGGAGAAACAAACAATATGGGTTCGACCGGACACTCGGAAAGAGTACGAACCAGCAACGATTGAAAAAAGACACGGAGAATCACTGTGGTATGATGTGAACTACAAGGGCAGGATCATAAAGAAACATGTAGATGCGATGAAGA